GAGACGTGAGGAAAACTACAATTCCAATTGCCCTTATTTACAAATAACGCCCGGTTTCAGTATAATTGATTAATTTTAAATATGATTTTTGAGGGGCCCGGGCGCTGGGCCATTGAAAATATTTCCTTCCTTCGAATCCCGGGAAAGATATTTTATGTTGTTCGGACAGCAAGCACTAGGGACGAAAGGCGCCAAGGCAAATTCTCTTTTCTTCCTGGGAAATGATTTAACTGACTAGGGTCACAAGCCCGAAAACTGTCTGAGACCCAGAAGATGAATATGTAAGAAACTGTCTTATTTCCTCTTAGTAAATACCTCAGAGTCTGCTGGTCACGTGTAAATTCGAAATTGAGGGTTGACATTTCTTTACTCGTTCGCTTGCGGCTTGTGAAGAAGAAACATGGCGTAATTTTTCCTTAAGAAAAATGAGAGAACACAGGAAGGTCAGAACTCTGGGAGAGGTGTCCTGGGTTCGATTTCCTTCAAGGGCGGTTCCTTTAACTCCGAAACTAAGAACAATAGCGCCAGGATCAGAGTTTTGTTGACGTAAATACGTCTATAAGGAAGGGTCATTCGGCAAAAAAGTGTAACAATGGTTACCTAGGGAACGTCGTCTGTTTACTCGGTATTATTGTTACCTACGAAACGTCATCTGTTTACTTGGCATTGTTGTGTTATCTAGGAAACGTTACTTGGCATTGTGTTACATTACTTTCGTTGTTGCGGCAAGAGCTGAGCTGTGATTCGCTTGTAAAAACGTTTTACAATAACGTTTGGCTTAATGTTGATGTTAAATCCTAAATGTAGTACCACTAGATCAAAATCTTGTATAGATATGGTGTTTGCACGAAATGTTGATACTCTAAAATGCACAAATTTTATAATATATTTCAGCTACCACAGACCCATCTTAAGCGTAACTAATTCAAGTTAAATAAGCAAAGTCTTAACCAAACTTTAATCAATTTTAAAGCATGTATAAAGGAAATATTTAGAATAAAGCCAATATATAAACTTCCTTTCCGTATAGACGTATTTACGTCAAATTCTCCGGAACCGTGGTTCCACTGTCACTTTTTTTTTTGCCTCGAATAGGAGATTACGGAATCAAAGGCTTCAACACTGGGTTCGACTCCTGACAATAATAATGGTTTCTGTTGACAGGAACGCAACCGCTATAAGAGAGCGACGCCAAGGCAAAATGCGTTGTTTTCAGAGAGGTTATTTCAGGATCTAAGGTCACAGACCCGAAAACTTTCCAGGGTTGAGTCTCTCTTTCTTAAGAGAAGCAAACTATTTTTTGGACTTAATGCATAATTCAAGACCAAAATCGAAATAAATTGGCGTTTTGAAGACTGGAGTCTTTCTCCGTCTCCACGTAAAGAACTGACTCTGTTGGGCCTAATCCATAGAGCTAGTCCCTGTCTCTGGACCTAGCAGCACCAAGAACCTAACTAAGGGCAGAGACCTGCGCAAGCGCAAAACATCGTCCCTTGCTAGAAAACAACATTCCTGCGTAAGGAACGCTTTGCTGGAAATGGAGACAGAGCCTTATAACTAAAACGATGGTTTTGTCGCGACGGAAACATTGACGGTCTGTTGCTG